TCACAGAGATATAACGGAGAAGATTTTAAAGTAAGGGTTACGATCCTCGCGCAAGAATCGAGAACACAAGCGCGCAAAACTCTAGAGGCATTTTGGATTAATTCCAAGATCCCAAAAATGAACCGCAGGTAAGAATGCCTCATTATCACGCGTGATATTGGATAGTATATAAACCTGTTATTCTGATGGGAGGGGCACATTACGCTTCCATGTGAATTGTGTGCAGTCGGTCTTCACACGACATACTCAGTGGAAGACTCATAGAAAGCCGTGAGTGTGCAGAGCTATGCTAAATGTGATTGAAATCTTGGCTTAGCGTTTTCTCTGTTTGGTTATGGAGGTGTTTCGCCGAATAGGTTGCTCTCAACTTGACCTTTCCAGGCTCTGAGAAAGGCGAAATCCGCCGAAACGTCAGCTTGTACGCAAATAAAGAAATAAAATAGCATTGCGTGTTTTCTGAACAGAAGTAGAAAGAATTATTCAAAAAAATTACTTTTGAAATGGGAAATATTCTGGAACTCGTATGATTCTTTTTGAATCGTGGGAGCAGATCATCCACTGATCCAAGCGACCGTATATTTCGGGACAAATCGCTCCATGCGATCCAAGTTAGTTGTAATATACGACTGTTAGTATTCATAAATTCAAAAAACAGTTTGTCTTAGTTATGCTTTAGCTTTGTTTGCGGCCAAATATTTGTTGATGTTGGACTATCATGTGGTGCAAGGGGTGGTCCACTCTTTAGTCAAGGTTATCCTAGGATGATACATTTATCCTCTTACAAAACTGGTGGAGATGAGTCATTCTCATGCTCAGAAAAAAACTATGATGTGATCAAATTCGTTCAGAAATTTTTCGCCATTTTTGAAATCTAGTAGAGTGCACGGAAATTTAAGTGAAGCGCGCTATCTATTGTTGACTAGTCCCAGAGAGCTGTACTATTTTGCCCCATCCTTTGTTGACAACAGAAAAGTGTTCGTTACCGTTGAAAGGAATGCAATCGCACCAGTTCTAGTAGACTGAATGGGCCACTCATCCTGTATGGGAAACTGTTGCTAACTGTTATCGGAACTGCAGCACAAAACGACAGCTGTCCCATAGACCCATAGACACCTCACCATTCCCATAGGAAAAGCGCTTCGATAATGCGACACCACCTCGCTAAAGCTGCTAACAGCCCCATTGCAATGGATAACGAAGTTGCTTGACTGGAACGAAAAAGGCATAACTATTGATGAGAATCCTTGCGAAATCTTCGTTTCGAGAACGACATCATCGTCTTTTCGAGGAAAAGCAGTAAATTAAAAATGATGTTCAATGAACTCAAGGAAGCGGGAAAAAAAAGATTAGATTGCGCATAAGTGGGACGAAGACGCAACACGAGAAAAATCCATGAGAGACTGCGATACTCGAAGCAAACCACCACTACGAGCTGCTATCGCGTAACAACGAAATAAGGGGAAAGAGGACTAGGGCTCGCAGTAGTTGTAAATACGGGCTGAGTAATTATCCAGTAATCAAAGTAAAACTGGTTAACAAATGGAATACACTGTGTGTGGAGATATATTACTGCGCTCTCCTAAGTACTGAATTGGAAACGGCACATAGACTGTCGGCTATTTGTCGAAATTTTAGCCATCGCACTTATTTTTTCATACGTGACCGTCTATATCACCATTGACTGTCATTAAGAATGGAAGGACGAAAAGAACAAGAGAAAAAGGAAGGAAAGAAGAGGAGGACTGTAAAGTGTCATGATCACATACCCTGCCTCATAAAAGAAACCATCGATGGTGAAATTTGGATGTTGTTCTTGGTAGACTTGTAGGGCTCTGTCTCCTAAATAGACGACGTTGCTGGATCAAATTTAATACTGAGACGATAACATCACAAAAATAAGGAGTAACTCTTTCAGTGTTGTTCTCTATACCAATGCGAAGAGAAATTGTACAGAAACTTTCAGTAGTAAATCTTTAAAAACTAGTGATAGATGGGAGAATATTGGAAAAAGAGGAATAACCACCGTTGATAATGGTGCTACTAATTCTTGATAAGCGAGTGATATTGACCAATCAAATGCTGCTCGCTTACCAACATGGAGCTCAGCTCTATCAGCATTACCGTATAGCGTCTGAGTATCCATTAGTGACTCCATCAGATAACCAAGTAGATGGTAGGAAAAGTCCCCAGTTGTATTGAGTGCTTTAAAGAAAAATTATCTCACCATCTTTCTACACACTTCTGAATTGTCAACACTAGAAAATCTCTCTTTTTTCTTACAAATATCACCGAGTTGAAGGAGACATTCCCAGCATTTTCCGTATCGACTACTGTTTTCTATTATTCCATAACTTTATGGTATTGTGAAATCTTACTTTGAATATATGATTTCTTTATGGGGTTAAAGTTACACAATGTAACCACAGGAAAATGCATTCCCTTTTCGCTTATCAGGAACGAGACCTGGAAAAAAACAAAGTGATAAGAAATTTTCTGACATAAGAGCTTTGGTGCAGAAATTAATACGTTGAATCCTATCCGCATTCATGATGTAATCACGATGTCTAGATTGACACAGTGAGCGCGGAAAGCTCGTTATTACAGTAATGGCTCAGTCCTGCAGTATTCTCCATTGCTCTTCCATACTGATTGTTCAGATTTTGATGGAAAAATGAAGATGTTAGAATTTTATAATTGGACGAACCTGTGAAACAATTGGATTGCTCACATACATTGATAACAGCGTTCCTACTTGATGCACTAGTAAAACTCCTGATATAAGAACCATTAAAATCCAAAAGTGGGTAGAAAATCGCTTGCCCTGATAGATTCGCTTCGGACCATGCATTGTGGTCGTTTCTAGAAGAGAGAAAATATTCATTCCTTTTGGTCGCATCGTAATCACTTCTAGGCCAAACTTGTAAACATGGTTATTGATCTCGGAAAATTTTCAGTTATTCAACATTCTTTGCAGGGTAATATTTCGAAGCCGGCCCTCCTTTAACCTCGGTGGGAAATCAATATGTATTATTCCTTTGGTGAGCTTATACGAGGTTGATAAATATATTTATTCGTATTTTTGTTGAGCAAACGCGAGGTGTTACTATTCTTTGTTCACGATTAAGCTGACGTTTCGGCGAATTTCGCCTTCTTCAGAGCCTGGAAAGGTCAAGTTGATAGCAATCTACTCGGCCAGACGCCTCCATAACCAAACAAAGAAACTCCAAACCAAGATTTCAATCACTTTGAACACAGCTCTGCACACTCACCGCTTTCTATGAGGTTTCCACTAAGTATGTCACGTAGAGACCAACCGCACAGAAATCACGTAGAAGTATAATGTGCCCCTCACATCAGAAAAGCAGTTTTATATACTGCCCTATATCACGCGTGATAATGAGGCATTCTTCCCTGCGGTTCATTTTCGGATTTCTGGAATTAATCCAGAATTAAGTATGTGTCACGATCCTCGCACGCGAATCAAGAACACAGGCGCGAAAAACTCTCGAGGCACTCTGGATTAATTCCAGAAATCCGAAAATGAACCGCAGGGAAGAATGCCTCATTATCACGCGTGATATAGGGCAGTATATAAAACTGCTTTTCTGATGTGAGGGGCACATTATACTTCTACGTGATTTCTGTGCGGTTGGTCTCTACGTGACATACTTAGTGGAAACCTCATAGAAAGCGGTGAGTGTGCAGAGCTGTGTTCAAAGTGATTGAAATCTTGGTTTGGAGTTTCTTTGTTTGGTTATGGAGGCGTCTGGCCGAGTAGATTGCTATCAACTTGACCTTTCCAGGCTCTGAAGAAGGCGAAATTCGCCGAAACGTCAGCTTAATCGTGAACAAAGAATAGTAACACCTCGCGTTTGCTCAACAAAAATACGAAGAAAATCACTTGATCAATGCCGAGGTTAATAGAAAGTCGGTCGTGGCAAATATATTTATTTTCGGCTAACGTTTCGACGTCTTCGTCTTCATCAGAGCCGACGGTCCGAGTCGATGGTCCACGCTTGTTATTCGCCTTGATGTGGCAGCTTCGCCTTCGTGTCAAGTTGAGTCTCCCTCAGCGGGCCATCTCCTGGAATGGTCACTCGGTGATGCCCTTTCATGAAGGATGCTGATGGTGGATATGCTCTGTACTAGCTGGTAATAACATCGACTTCTGCAGGATGGATTGTCCGGAAAAAAACAAGTTGTTTTCACCGGACAATCATTATACACAGCGTTAGCATCCTGCGTGAAAGGACATCACAGAGTGAATATGCCTCATTCGAGGAGCCCACTGAGGAAGAGCTGACTGGACAGGAGGCAAAGCCGTCACATCGAGGCGAATAACAAGCATGGACCATCGACTCATATCATCGGCTCTGATGAAGACGAAGAAGTCGAAACGTTAGCCGAAAGTAAATATATTTATCAACCTCGTGTAAGCTCATCAAAGAAGGAATACATATTCTTTGCATGATTTTTGAGCTAAATTCTGATCAATTCGGGGAATGGCTACATTTTTCCGTTTTTTTTGAGCCATCACAAAGCTGTTTTATAACAGTTTTCACCTGGCCTTTCACAAACGCTTAAGTGAATTCCATGATGAGAGCCATTCCGAAAAGATCACGTTGTTATGCAGTTTTTAACTGAATATCAATCGCGTTGGTTCAATAACATTGTTCTAATACATCCGATCCAACGATCATTGCATGAAGACTTTTTCGGAACGTACATAATACTCAGTAATATCGATTAGACGTGTGATTACATATTGAAGATCAATAGTGTCAACCTTCTGGAACAACGTTACACTCACCGAAATACATCTGCAAAAATTTTTTTCTGCTTGTAATTCGTTGTATAATGGGATGGTGTTAAAACTCATCCACCCGCAAGGTCACAAGGTATCTATTCGCCAGTCTCTTTCACTCTTCGCATCGCGCTTTTTGGACCAAAAACCCGTTGAATTTGAAAGGCCTATCATCTCCAGACTACGGTAATGAGATCTAGGGTGCAATACGCCAATGTTCATGTAGAGCTGTTCCGCTGTTACCGCGTCTTCCAATCACACTGAAGAAATGTGGCTTACGTGAAAAGTGCTGTGTTTCTCTCCTAATCGATCCAATTCCTTCGGTTTCTTTGATACGTCGGAAATGTTCGGCTGGCACTTGAAGTATGATCTGCGACGCCCGTTGCTTGAAGCCGATTCGTCGTTGATTCATGGAACTGAAGCACCTGTACAGGTTACTGCGGCATTGCATGACTAGGAATATACTCTTCTTTATGACAGCAAAAAAGAAAAAAGCGGATGGTAAAGGCACTCACTGCTTGTTCTCATAATATTCACTGCAAACGGCCGTCATAACCTAGAAAAGCACCACTTTCTCGTTTTGTTCCATTACTTCTATTTAAATTATTAATTCTTTCCTTTGTATTTTAAAGCTTTGTTGAAGAATATTTCCTTTCTGAGTTCGTGGAATGCCCAAAGGAGAATAGATTTTTAAAAGCGTAGTAAATCTGATAGTTGAAAGAAGTTACCGATTGTGGAATGCTATTCGTTGATGATGATGATAGATCGGTTGACGAACATGGGCTGAAGTGATTTGATTTGGCAAGTAATCAAAATTTCTTAGCAACTAAAAAAAAATGCTGCAATTCCGTTCATATGTTTAGATATTTAACGCAACAAGAATTAGTCTGGGTAGGGTGTAGCGTAATGGGTAGGAGTGTCCTGTAATGCAGACATGGTCAATGGTTCGACCCACCGACCAAATCAATTTCTTCATCCATCCTGGGTCGACAAATTGGTGGCGGAGTTATCTGTGAGACTAAAGAGGTTGACTTAATACTTCGGTGGACTCTAGAAAATCATAACTTAGGCCAGGGATGCGCCTCTACGATATTACCAATGGAGTTGAATGTATGAGGTATCCCTAAAGGACTAATTGGAACCGAAGGCTTACCATTTATCCTGTCCTCTAATATAAGATCGGAAACTGAACACATGAAAGCCAAACTACCATCGCAAACTGCTAGCCACTATTTATTATCCTAACGCCAAAGCCAATAAAGAGAAAAGGTCTTTACCAGAAGTGTGACGCGTTCAATGTCTCACTGACAAGTGAAACCGAGCTCACTGTATGAACCCAGCGTACGAGAGGGCCTATAGGATACATAGGGTAGTTTAGTTTTAGTGAAATCCAATTAAAATAAACAAGGGATACGGTTGGATATTCAAGACAGTTGTTAGGCCTTAACTTTTAGCAAAACTGTTTCAAGCCTAAGATTTCCTTACAACTTTCCGGAATTGTAATTTTTCTTCGAGCTCCTTAAATAAGCAAGTTACGTTATAGCGCTTTTATTCTGCTGCAGTGATTAAATGAAAACCAAACATACTTAACTATCGACTGGCAGTAATCACCATTCTCACCGGTCATGCATCGTTCTGCTTTCGAGGTTAAGTAAAACATTGCTGAAATCATTTTTTATTCAGATGCTTGTATAGAATCCTTATATAGCGGAATGTACTTTGTCAAACAATAGTCGAGTCTAGGATAGCAAAGTTGGACTTTTAGATTGGAATTTTGCAAGTTAGCTCACTTTAATGAAGCACTGCAACAACTTCAGATGTCTACTACAGCTGTTCCTCTGTACAACCGTCGGAAAAGCTTAAACTGAACAGAAAGTGCTTCATGGTGGTCGTAAATAGAAGGTCAACGAAAATGCGGAGGTGGCATTTATTCATAGCCAGATTAAATTATTTACAAGAAAGGTTTCAAAACAACTTTTTTTCTTCGACTGAACTAACTGCGCATCAGCGTACGACAAAATGAACCGTCCTAGAGCAAAAAATAAGGCGGACATCTCGTCTACAAGCTGTCATGATTCCGATAACAAGGGAACCATAGGATGATAGCAAAGTTTTGGATAGGAATGATATAATATGGATTTTCTTGACGAAGGTGAAAAATTTTTCAGACGACGAATGTTTTTTCAGCAAGTTTTAAGGCTTTCAACAAGTCCTATGGATGGATTGGTTTTCGCCATGTGGTGTATGCTTCTCTCCCTTGCCTGGCAACATAGGTCATTTTTGCAAGCGCGATTGGAACCCAAAATCCGGATAATTAAACGTTTATTTGTGTTTAAATTAATGCCGAGTTTTATCTGTGAATGTTTGTATCATACACGTGAGGAAACTTCCTACAGCTAGTGTGAGAAAAACATTATATGATAGAAAACGTTCTCCATAGCCAACATCTACAAACCAAACACTTAAGATATTATATTAGAGGTTGAATAGCTGGTGTGTATGAAATGAATTCTCCCGTTCTGGAATTACTTGCAAATACGGGTGATTGCTGATGGCACTTGGAAATAATTTTAAACTTTGGTGAAAACCTCGATTATTCTGTGAAGTATTAAGAAGAATGATAAGGTGAGTGTGAAACGTTCGATTCTGACAGCAAATATTGACAATTCGGTGAGAAGATTCTTTTAAAATCCTGTGTTCAGTCATATCTACGTCAAATGAATCCTGGCTAATCAGGAAAATACGAGATGGAGAAGCTCTTTTTTACTGTTCTTTTACAACCACGTTTACTGTTAGACCAAAAACGAAACTGGACCGGCTGTGGGTATCATGCTGACATGATAAGAGGGGTAAAGCTGGCTTATGCTGGTGAAAACGATGGAAAGAAGAAAACAGAGCTGTAATGATGTATTAGTGATTAAAAGCATTAACCATTGAAGTGCTACTGAAAAGTGAAAAATTGATTACATTCCTTCTTATCTCACTTTTGTATCACTTCCTTCTGACGGCTGCTGTGACTGATTAGCGTGGGCTTGAGTTCAGCTATTTCCCAATGCTGTACGTGCTTGCACTAATTAGCATCAATGTACTATTCATTCTTAAAAAACTTTGTTCCCATTCATTCTTAAAAACTGTTGCTTAAATTACTAGGTACTTTCTTTGTCTAAATAAATATATGGTGTTATAAGATTGTTGAGGGCGGGTGTGGCACAGTGGTCGGAAGCGCCCTGCAAGACACGCGTGGAATAGCTCTCCGCGTCCACGGTCCACCAAGCGTTCCAACCATCCAGGATCGGCAAATTGGTAACAGAGTTGTATAGGAAGATAGTAACACTGGCTCGATAAATCGATAGGCCACCGCGAGTCATTGTAAAGGCCAGTTATGCGTTCATTCACCTCTAAACGATGCTTAATGAAGTCGAATGCATGTGGCATTTTTCAAGAATAGATCAACGCCGAGAGCTTCATCCTTTTTATTTTTATAAGATTGTTGCGTGGCATACGCGGAAGAAATCGACCACAATGATTTTTGTCTAATTGTTAAATCATCGTTTTTGTGCGCCAAACTGCAATGTCCTTGCAACCTCAGGGATTGAAAAAGGGGTTCGACATTCCTATCCGAAAGATGCAGCTCAAGCTTGAAAAAAAGCTTTATTTTGAGAAGGAGCCCAACTTTTCGACTGGGTTTCCCACCTTACAGCGAATTGCTGCCATAATCGGAGACGTCCTGACAAAAACCAATAACAATGATGGAAACTGGTCTAAAATGGGCTTTGATTCTGCTGAGTGACACCAGAAAAAAGCCGTGCTCAATTAGCAAGGATGAACACCATTTAGTTCGAGGTAGTGTTGAGACCCATTTTTATGAATACGGTTCAGTTAGGTATCTGAACAAGTAATAAATAAGAAACAAACTGTTCTCTTGTAATTGATTTTTTTAAAAATTGTTCTCTTGTAATGTAATTGAACATTGGTGATTTTCTCGTCTTAAAGAGTTGCCGACAACGAAGCTTAAAGCAATTAACAATCCGTCTCGGTCCGACCACGAAGAAATCACATCGAGAAGATGAACGACTGTGCACTACGGACTCGGGTCTTCTGCTCTGATAAAGACGAAGACGTCGGTCGAATAAACCTTATTATCAATCTCGTGTAACCTTTTCAATTTAAGTAAGTATTGATTATTTTAATAGAAAGTTCTTCAACACGAACACGATGATGTGAGATCTACAGAACTCATTTGTTAAGGGACACAATAACCGACATCATCTCTCTAGAGGGCACTTGATTGGCGGCGGTTTATTTTGATACAAAGAACTGTTTTCATAGAGTTTAAACTAGATAACTTATAAATTAACTTGCTTTCCTATACTTTCTGCAAACAATCGTTAGCTTGTCCTGCTCAGATATTGTAGCTAGCGTCATCCGAGAAATGCTCTTTTCTGCTCTTAAAATAAGAAGGATAAAGCTCTAGACGTTGATCAATCCCTGAGGAATGCGCCATGCATTCGACTTCATTAAGCATCGTTCGGAGGTGATTGAATGCATAACTGGCCTTTACAATGACTCGAGGTGGCCTGACGATGCAACGAGCCAGTGCTGCTATCCACCCAGAGAAGTCTGGTACCAATTGGCCGACCCCGCAGAGATGGAAAGCTTAATAGACCATGGGCTCGGAGATCGATTCCACGTGTGTGTCGCAGTGGCGTTTTAAACCACTGTGCCACACGTGCTTCCTTCGCTTTTAGGAATACTCAGAAACCTTTTTTCGAACGATTTCAACGACAGGCAATTTGACAGGCACGTTGACTGTTATTCCAATTCTAGGCGCTATAATGAACCACATGAGTTGGGTTTTATTTGTATGAAATGGGCAGAATGGGTGGTTGCAATAAACACAGACATAGACCCAACACAAGCTGAAACCCTCTTTCAAATGACAGCACCGTGTTTGTACGACGGAACATAGTAACATGCAGTGAATAGTAGCATAAATGCCATTCATACCCCCATAGATCGACATAGCAAACCTTTTCTATAATTAAGTTAGGTCCCCAAGCCCTCAAGCCTTCTCGTTACTGAAACACTGTCGCCTTTATCGAAAAACTAGTTGGTCCGAAAAGATTAAATTAGACATCATTCATTGCAGTAATCAAGCAAAATTAGGTGACGTTGCGCAAGTATTGATATGGTTAGCTGTGGAGCAGATAACGAACTCATAAAATGTCGTTGTGATGTTATTAGCTGACTATCAAATGGCGCAATTCTCAAGGACGATAAAAATGGCCAATCATTGATTTCGTAACCACTTCAGTACTCAGATCTAACACTGTAATGAAACTGCGTGCAGTTCAGACGTTGTCTGGCTTTCAATTTTTATTTTTCATGTAGCTGAAAATACATACACTTGCC